TTAGATTTCCAACGCATTTTGAATTGCCTCAATCGGATATCGGAATACAAAGTCATGATAAAAACACTGAAGGAAGGTGCAGCTGCCTGTTTAAAACAAGAAATTCTGTTACATTGTCCGTTATATTGAGACATATTTTTGGCATAGAAAGTGATCGAATTGGAGAATGATGTCTGAATCAAAGTTTTAGCCAGATGGGTTAGCTTTCAAACTCTTTTTGAATCGCCTCAATCGAACATCGAAATACAAAGTTATGATAAAAATACTGAAGAAAGGTGCAGCTACCTACTTTAAACAAGAAATTCCGTTACATAATCCGTTAAAACAACAAATTTCGTTAATTTTTCCGTTAAACCAACAAATTCCGTTAAATAGGTATTTTTTATATATAGAAAGATATATATAATAACAAATTATTTATTTATTTTGAGTAAATACAATCATAAATTCATGATAAGGTTTGGGTCAAGCCAAATCAATGCAGCACTAAAATACTTTGAATTTGTCAACGTCACCCATTGCGTCAGAAGTGGGTCCCATACACACCACGCACTTTAATTAAACTTCACGCACTCCGTGACAATTATTTCACGCAAACAAAAAAGTGTTGTGCACTTGCTGAAAAGCGTGTGTATCTACAAGGTTCCTTATAATATCCGCCACACAGAGAAGCCGTTGGCGTGAAGATTATTGCGGTACAGCTCATATGACACGTGTCATTATTCCATTGGTTAAATGGTCGAGGCAGTTTCGTCGTAAGTCGGTCACCTCATCTTTATAAGCGCACATTCTCCTCTTACATTTTCATTCATAATCGGATAAAATTCTCTAATTCGTTTCATCGATTCTCGTCAAAGTTTTATTCCAATCTCTTTCTCTTGTTCAAGGTACTTCGTTTAATATTTGTTCTGGTTGATTTTGTCTAATAGGCATAATCTCAGTCTTTCAATATTTTGATTCGTTGATTGTGATTTTTTTTTTTTGGATCTGCGATTGTAAAGTAATCGATTTTTGAAAGGATACTGCAGATCTATATCTCATCGGGCAAAATTTACATTTGATTTTTGGATTTGATGTTTTTTTTCTGTTTTTTTAGCATCAGTTGATTGTAGAAATCGATTATT